GAATTCATTGCAGCCTTTATTGTAGATACTGAAAAATTGATTTGGTCCCATTTAAAAATTCTTTAATTTTTGAATAGACTTTTTTAGTTCTGTTTGAACAAGTAGTCATTAAAAAGATTACAGTTTTTTTTCTTATAAATAAATTTTGAACTCGTGAAACATATATAGTGAACATAGTAATAACTCAATTGGTAACACCAGAAAAGAGTGCAGTGACTTTATGTACTATCTATTTTCTAAAGGTGAACCCAAATTTATTTTATTAGTATTATTACCGGCTCGGTGATTATTAGATGAAGAATTTTTTTTGAAGATCCATTAGATTAAATAAAAGTTGGTTAAGTGACAAGTTAATATATAATAGTAGTAATGCTACTACTATTATACATTGCAATGACACCACCATGAGTAAATCTATCTCTTCTAAAAATATTAGGTACAATGGAGATGAAGCAAAAAGTTCGCTAAACTAGGTCTCTGTGACAAAAACGATATCGTATTTATATTTAGCCAAAAGCTATCAAAAGTTGCAGAAGTTTATCTTGGTTTAAAGATGTAACAGTAGTATTAAAAAGAGTAAAATAGTATTCAGTAATTTTTTTGTGTTTAATGTTTCCATATTCCTTTAGATTTAAAGTTGACTACTTTATTTACTAGTTGTTGTGCTGGATCAACGGTTTTCTTTGATGTATTTGCTGCTTTTTTTTTTTTTCGTCCAAAAAAGGATATTTTATTACGATAGTTTTTTGTGTGACATCATTACAGAAAATTGTCGAAAGGGGCAGTTGAATTTAAAATTGACTTTAAGTTCATATTTAAATTTCTTCTTTACTAAGTTCAACTTACTAAAGTTGGCATGTTCAGATGAGGTTTTAAGTTTGATCAACAACTTGGTCGAATTAAAATCTTTGAATTAGTTCATAAGGAATTTTATTACAAGCTTCTACGGTGTCGAATTCAACTATAAGAAGTTCTGGCAAATTACTTTACAATAAATGTGCAAAGATGTGGCTTGTTTTGGTAGGCAATTATTTGATTTTATGGATGAATTAATTGCTACAAAAAAATAGCTAATTATTTTGGTACTATTATTTTAACATTCTTCTGGATTGTCTATTCGTGAGTTTATTTTAAAAATTATTTTTGATGACTCTGTTGACTTTTTTACCATTTTATTTATAAAAGCATAGGTGGTGGCTATTCCAATTTTGCTTATATCTTAAGAAAATGGTTTAGTAGTAAGAATGTGATGTTGAAAAGGTTTCTCATTTCAAAGTTATTCTAATTGCTCCTTTAAATAGAATTTTCATCCTTAAGCATTCGAATTTTATTTATCATGACTGTTTTAATTAAAAGGAACTCATGACTGTTTTTATTATAAGGAACTCATGACGAAGTTCTTTATTTTTGCCAAATTTATTAGCAACTTAAGTCGTTTTTATTTAAAAGGCTATTAAAACTTACGTACACTCTCGCGGAAAGTGTGGAATTTTCCTCCACACCGGTATGTAGCTATCACTCCTAGACAAAAGTATGTAGTTATTTTGAACACTTTTGTAGAAATTAACTTTTTCTAACTCAACTTTTGCACAGAAGTGTGGAGTTATTTGCACAAAATTGTGCAAAATAACTCCACACTTTTGTCTAGGAGTAATAGCTACACACGGGTGTGGAGGAAAACTCCACACTTTCTGCGAGTGTGTAGTTGATTCGAATTCTTGCTGGTAACGGTTTTGTGGCTATTTTCAGAATAGGATAGTTTACATCCTTAATAACTGTGAACCTCCGGGCGTAAAATATTTCTATATTTAGTTAATAACATTTAACTAGGAAGTTTACGCCTCCTTTCATACTAATGTCGCTCATCTGGCCAGAGCCGTTATCGAACCTCAGACCATGGTTCTGAATCAAAGCTCAAACTACTCCACACCGGCTGCTATATTCAATTTATGAAACATTCAGTCTACATGGGCTTGAACAACTTACTTAAAAATGCAAACTGTAAGAAAACCGTAATCTGTTTATCAAATGGAAATGGTCAGTGTGAAGAGTATTACTGTTGTTGTTGGTTTGTCAATTTTTACTTTTGTATCTCACACAAAAGTGTAAGACACAAAGTTATAATTGTCAATATCATTTATAAAAAATGCCGTTTGTATAATTTTCGTACACTTGTAATTAAAAGGAACTCATGACTGATTGAACTGTACCTGACTGCTATAAATGTTACAACTTAAAGTAAATTAAAATTCAAACAAACTGTAATTATTTTAAGAACTTTTATATGCAAATAATATAAAACAAATCATCATTATAGTTTTAAAACTATAAAATATTTTATTATTAAGTTAACCTACGCAAGGCTAAAGGTTCCAGAAGAAGCCACTACGGTCGGACAAAAAGATTTTGGGCGCTATTTGGTAATTAGAGCGTTAAAATTCCATCTAAATTTTATTTTTAATAGATAACAATCAAGCTAATAGCTAAACTTCAATACCCCCTATCAATGTTATCAAAGTTCATGTAGCCAATGTTGTGTTTTTGATATAAAAAAACTTTTTTAATTTGATTTTTTTAACCAATGCTCAATCACCAAAACAATAAATCTTGTATTTTCTCATCTTTTAAGCAAGAAATCAAATAAAAAATCAGCTGAAAGTCATAATTGATACTTCCAGCTAATTTTTATCTTTCTTTGTCTACGTCGAAATGTTCTGCTTTAAAACAAATTTTTTAGTCTTGTATTTAGAAAAAGAAATTGTCATTTGAACAGCTATAGAAAATCATAAGGCTTGAGCAATTTCTTGAAGACTTGAGCAGCTTCTTGAAGGCTTGAGCAGCTACTTGAACAGCTCATAAAAAATATATAAGGCTTAACTCTTTTTACAATATATTTTGCTGCTCGTAAAACAAAAAAAAAAATAAATTGCAAAAAAATCTTTACGTTACATGAAGAGAGTTAATAAAAAAGACGTGGGCTCAAAAAATATACGGATGACTGATGTCACTACAATCATTTCAGAGAGCTATTTAACCATAACATTTTCAACAGGCATTTGTTTTTAAAAGTTACGTTCTAAATATATTTTAAATGTATTTTAAACGCCTTCTAAACATTCTTACGTAAAGAACGTTTAAAAACGTTCAAAAAACATTTAGAACGTAACTTTTAAAAAGAAATGCCCGTAGGGTTAAAGCCCACCCCAGCAAACATTTTTTGTTGTTTCGACGTTAAAATTAGGTCGATTTTTTCGACGTTTTTCTTTTTACTAAAAATCGACGTGTTTTTGACGTTAAAATACAGACATTGATTAATTAACCTGATTTGAACCTTATATGAACGTCGATAAATGACTAAATATCGTCGTTAATTTTATGGCCAATATTCTACCTGTTTTCTACGTTATTATTACGTCATTATACTCACATCAGTTATTAACGTTATATACCAGACCCACGTTTAGACGTTACACATTAAACCGAATTTGAACTATATTTAAAAGTCGATTCATGACCAAATATTGTCGTTAATTTTATGACCAGTATTCTACCTGTTTTCTGCGTTATTATTAGGTTATTAAATTCATGTTGAACTTCAAACGCGATTATTTACGTATTTTATTTGACCAAAGTTTTTTTTTTCACATACATATACCACGCGATAAATTTTGTCGGTTTCGTTTTGAATGTTTTAATGTTAAACGTGTTAGCCTATACAAAAAGTAACAATTGCATTTTTGTATAAACGAGTAATTCATGTTGAAAATTAAAAAATTTTACAATCAAACCGACAAAATTTATCGCAGTCTGTAAAAAATAATTAAAAAAATTAATAACTGACTATTTTACATATATAAATGTAAGTAGTTTAAAAAAAGATGTTAGTTCGAAGAATTGCAATTCTTCGAACTAACATTTCAAACTAACAACTAACAACTTCAATATTGAAGTAGCAATAAGTAAAAAGACATGGAGGTAAGTTCTTTTGCCAAATAATTTATGTACACACGTTATGTACAGGGATGCTTTCCCAAAATTTATCAACCGGTTCGTAGTGATATTTTCTTACAAATTTTTTTATTTTTTTAATATTAATATTTCCATCAAATTATTATGGTTGTCAGAGTGGCAGACTAAGTCAAGAATATTTAATATCGTTCATATTTTTTGCAACAATAATGTAATTGGATAAAAGAGAATAAAAAAATAATTCAACGAGGTGAAAATCATTTTTATTTTATTCATTCATTTCAAGAGATACAAAATTTACATAAAAAGAAACTGAAAATAACAAAAAGTTGTGAAACTTCATATATTAGTAAATATTATTGTTATAAAGTAATTATATTATTTAAAATATTTCCAAATAGCTAAATAATTTTCAGTATATACTTTCGGTTTAAATTTTTTAACCCTTCTGCCGAGTTATGGTTCCTCAACCAAGTTTTTACATAGGGAACTGCGTTCCAATTTTCCAATGGACGACCAACTAAGTTTAATGTCATCAAGTTTGATACTGTCTGCACTGTTAATCTGGCTCTTATATCGGTAATTATGATTTTCATCAATGAAAATCCTCGTTCTGCTTCAGCACTGCTAACGGCAACCGTATTAACCATATTTTTCGCTTTTTGAATGTTTTCTGCAATTTTACTAATTTGTTGATGGCCATTGTTTATTACATTTTCTACATAATCAAGGAAATTATTCTTATCGATATCAAAATTAAAAAATTTTCGAAATTTATCAAAATTATTTTTGGCCTCTATCCACGGAACTACAATATCTTCAATTTGCCATGTGCTCGGCTCTAGCAAATTGGCTAGTTCATAAATAATGCTATTATCAGTATTTTTTTTGTTACTATTTGATCCGAGATGAGAACAACCCATCAATCTTAATTTCATATTTTTTTATGATGCTGTCAATAAGGGAACCTCTGGGAAGATTTCCATAAATTCTGTTTTCGACGAAGATAATGTTTTTGAATGTTTCAGAGTTTATAACTTCATCCAATTTTTTTTCGTAATGACCGCGACGATCTTTGAGCATTTGAAAAGCGTTAATTGTTCTCTAATCAGTTGATCTTCTCTGGCAACATTTATATTTCTAGCTTGAAGGGCATTAAATAGCATTAGATAGCACGCAGCCCATCTTGTTCCTAACACTCTTCCAATCTTAATTATATCCAAACTAAGCTCCTGGGAAATATCATTCAGTTCTTTTTGGTTTTTATTAGATTGATGAAAAATATAATATCTTTTGTCCATCAGAACTTTAAAATGATTAACCTGTTTGATATCTTTTATGGAATCATCTAAAACAAGTTGTAGGCGGTGATTGAGACAGTGCCAAATAATAACATTTGGAAACATCTCTTTTATTCGTACGCTGACTCCAGATTTACAACCGAGCATTACGCTAGCACCGTCAGAACAGTATCCTATTAAATTCAGTTTTAAATCATTTGTATCAAATCCAACAGCAAGTAATAAACCCAACAAACTTTGAAAAATAGTATTCGCATCTTGTGCGTCAAGTTCCGCAATATCTACGAATACTACTGGGGATATTTCAGAAGATGCTACTGTAGAAGATTCTACTTTGATGAAAACTATAAGCGTTGATTTACTGGAAATGGTGGAAGCTTCATCGATAACAGTACAAATTTTTAAATTATTCTTAATAATTTATATAAATAATTCTTTTTTAGTTTCTTGCGCGATGTGCTCTACTATCTTACTTGCACTATGTCGAGAATGAAGTCCGGTTCCCATGTCCAACCTGTTTTTTACTTGAAGCTCTATTACACTTTCTATGTCTGAAAACGGAAAATTTCTTTTCGCTAGACTGTAAACAGTGTTGAAGATTCTTGTAGTAGAACTAATAAATTTTTCGTTTATCTTATCGATGCATGCTGTAAAAGTTTGTTTTTTAAGTATCTTAAGTATCTTGGCATATTCAACAGCTAGTTTGTGTGCTTTTGATACAAAATGTTCACTCACTTTTTTTTCTTAAAGATGCTTGTTGCACTATTTTGTCTTTCCCCGATGTCGTAACGTTACATTTTTTCCATTCCTGAGATATTAGTTTTGATTCCATTTTTAAACAATACTCACATCCCAATTTCTGATTACTGACAAATAGCCTATCATATTTAATTTTAAACTCCTTCAACTGTTTTGCATTCCAACAGCTTGGTAAATTATTATTGTCCTCATTTTGGGAACTAGGAATCTCTAGTATTTCTTCCTGTAAAGTTCTTGAAACTGCTTCTACCTCTGTTATAGTCGACCTGCTATCATTACTTACTGATGTTTCCTCTCTTATTTTTTTCGAGAAATATGTGATTAACATATTTTGTCTCTTCATCTACAAAAAATAAAATAGGTATTTAAAAATTTATAAAAAGGTGAATATCAGACCAGTAACCAAATAACTTTAACACAAAGCTATATTTTTATTAAAGAAAAATTATCTGAAATACATGTTAACAATTTGACACTCAAGGATTGAATTTTATTTTATTTTTAGTATATTTTGTTGTTATTATAACTCCAAAGTATAGTTTAAAATAGAGATATCATAACAACTTATAAGTCGTTATATTTTTAGTTTAATAAAACTTTATTCGGGTTTTTTAATCCATACGGCAAATAATTTCAACGTTGTTTCTCCTATGACTTTTAACTAGTGTGCGACGTTTAACTGTAACCAAAATGCGACATCAATGTTTAACATCCATAATGCGTAGTATTTTTACGTTATTTTAAATTTAAATATTGCAATAGATTTGACGTCGAAACTTTACAGCATTTAGACGTCAAATCATATTCGATTTTCAACGTCGAAAATAGACGGTGTTTTGTTGTCAGATTTCTACGTTATTCCGTCTTTCAATTCAATACTAATATTCAACGTCAAAACAACGTTAATTTAACCTAATTTCGACGTTATATTTACGTCAAAATGTTTGCTGGGACGTGGCTTTAAAAATTTGAAAATTAAAATATTTTGTGAAAAAAATTACGAATCAACTAAAAAAAAACAACCTTTAATCAAACATATTTCAAATAAACACGATACCGTAAAATCGCCTAAGTTCGGTCACTTAAGTCTTAAACATTTATTTATCACGCATAAATAAAAAAATTTCAATTTTTTTTCCTGAAACATACAGAAAATTATATTGATAATCGATATTGTAAAAACAAAAAAATAAAAAATAAAAACTAGTACTTAATATTTTGTTTAAATTGAAAAATCTACTTTGACCGAACTTTCAATACCATCTCATAAGTTCGGCCACTATATAAATACTAATATCGTATCACAAACTTAACGTCACAAATAATGAAAAAAACACTTTTTAAATGTTGTTTTATTGTAAAATTATGATATAAATTCAGGTAATACCAGTAACTAAAAGGTCACCCCGGGCATGAAAAAAAAGTCTTTTGGGGCACTAAGGAAAACAAAAAGGAGCACATGAAAAAAGGTCTTTTTAAATATAAGAAGTAGTATTTTTAATTTATATTGTAACTAGTCAACTATTTTATTAATTTGGCCATTATCACATTTACTGCGCCACTATTTATTAAAGTTTAAAAAATATTTTTCAATTAACTTCAAAAGGTTTTTTCAATTAACAAAAAACACACTACCTTTCTTTAAATAAGCTTTGTATGTTTATTGGCAATTCTTGCACGTATCGTTGACCATAGTAGAACAGCAAGATCCACACAACCAATCGCTACAGGATTTGCAACATGTCGTTGAGCTGTATTTTTATCTCCAAAAAAATGTCACATGCTTGACATTTTTTAGGACTCAAAGAACCGTCAGTTAGTTTTGATATTATGAACAAATTTTTTATTCAAATAAAATATCATGGTGTGTATCCATTTTAAAAATGTCAACCATGTGAAATTAATGTAACTAAAGAGAAATATATATATATATATATATATATATATATATATATATATAATATATATATATATATATATATATATATATATATATATATATATATATATATATATATATATATATAAATATATATATATATATATATATATATATATATATATATATATATATATATATATATATATATATATATATATATATATATATATATATATATACACAAGAAAACGTGCCTAATAACATTCTTGATAACATTCTTGATAACATTCTAATCGTCAATTAGAATGTTATCAAGAAGAGAATAGCGCGCGGGAATATATCCGCTAATACAGCTTAACATAACAAGAAGCTATTGTCCACGCAAGTGAGCGCGACATTCCCGCCCTTAATTACTTTATTATTAAATGATTAATGTCATTTTTATCACAGAACTTGAATCTTATTGCTTCGGATGGATTGTTCGATGCTTCTAGAAAATATAATTTGTTTAACGGTTTTTTAAATCCTGTTTTCCAACAACCTCGTTTAGTGTCCGAGTCGTGAATCAACATAACGTCATCGACGGCTATTTTATCTGTTTTATTATTTTTATTAAATTTGTGGAATTCTCTTAGCTCTGTTAGATATTCTTTTTCCCATTTTTGCCAATAATGATTTAGTGTATTTTTTATGTACGTACTTCGGGTATTCAAGTTTGTTTCATATGTTTTGTTATTTGATAGCTTTAAAGTTCGTTAAAATTTCGTATATTAAATGATTAGGGGTTAATGGTGTGTCTCCAGGTAATTCATACATAAACGTGATCTGTTGATTGTTTATTATTGATTCTACTTCGGCAATGAATGTTAACAATTCTTCATTTAAAAGCTGGACTTTAAAGATTATTTTTTGAAGGCAGCGTTTAGTGGATCCAACTAGTATTTCAAAGTACACTCCCCACCACAGAGCAGCGGGGATGTTGAAATGCCATGTAATACCGAGAGATGAAGCAAAGTTTTGAGCCAGATTAGAGGTGAATTGCGATCCATTGTGTGAGAGGATTTCGGAAGGTGTGTCACGTTTTGAAAAAAATCTTTGTAATTTTCTTATGCATGATTCAGCAGAAGTGTCCGGAACAAGATCTAAAAATAAAGCGCGTGTAGTAGCACATGTAAATAAAAATATCCACACTTTATATAAATTATCTCCTTCATAAATATTTTTGACATATAATGGTCCTGCATAATCTACAACAGTAAATTTGAATGCATGATCATTACTTAAACAACAAAAGGGTAATGGTGGGGGAGGAGGATACAAATACGGCAGTCCCTCAAAGCGTTTACAAATATAACATTTTTTTATCAGTTTTTTAATGTGATTTCGTGCTTTAAGTATCTAGAATTGAGTTCGTATTTGATTGAAAGTTTCTTTTATACTATTGTGCATAACTAAAGAATGATTGTGATTAATAAGTAGGTTCTGAATTCTGAATTTCGAGGTAGTAATATTGGATTTTTTGCGTCGTATTTAATTGGTGCATTTTGAAATCGACCAATGCATTTTATGAGTCCATCTATATTTTGTAAGTTCAGGTCAAGCTGGAGTTACATAAAATTTTTATCACTTGTTATTACTCTTTGAACGAATATAATCCAAACCTTTAATGCTTATTCTATTTCAATTAGACCTAAATTAAATAATTTTAACTGCTTTTTATCTCTTTTAAGCTTTAAATTAGTTATAAATTGAAGGGCAAATGCTGTGACTCTTAATAAATGCAAATAGTTATGAAATCAAGTAACGTTTTTTATATTTAAGTCCAAACAATTCGATTTTATCAATTAAGTTTCTTAGCTCAAATTTTGCCCAATCCTTCGAGTCATTGTAAAGAAGTGTTGGTCAATTGAACCATATTTTATTATCAAATAAATTTTTTATATTTGTGCCTCTGGATACGATATCTACAGGGTTATTGTGAGATTCAATATATCTTCAATGCGAAATGTCAAATGTTTTTCTAGTTTTTTATTCTTTATAGTAAAAATGGCTGCTTAACTTGATCGATATTATTAATCCAGTGTAATACTACATTCGAAATTTCTATAGTTCCACTTACAATTTGTACATGTAAATAAATTCACAAAGTATTTGCATTTTTTTTTTTGTTTATTACAGAAATTATTAGGAATAAATAAATAAGCAAATGATATTTTAATAGAAAATAATTATAATTTATTTCGTAAAACTTAAAAGTTATATTTCGAAAAAACAGGCGTAATTTCTATAGTTCCATCAAAGGGAATCATTTATAATTTTTGTTCTAGATAATAATTTTTTTATTAGTTTAGTTTTTAATAATGCGTGATACCAACTTGCACACTATTTAATTAGATGATTCGAGTTTTCATACTTTTTATAACAATTTCCAAACAAACCTTTAAAATACCGTTCCAAGCTTGTTGGATAGATGTTTTATGTTCTTGTATTGTATTATACTATCGAGAATTTCCATATATCGTTCGCGCTAATATTACCCATAAATTTTTAACAGGATTCAAGTCAAGTGAACATGATGGCCAATCCAAAACGTTTATATTTTTTTCCTGTAACCACTTTTTTACAATTCGTGCCGTGTGAATCGCCGTATTAACTTGATGGAAAATCCAGTTCTCAGTAGGTAAACCTTTACTAAACTCTATTAAAACATCTTCTAAAAGATCTACAAATTTTCTTGCAATCATTTTTGTTGTAATAAAACATATTGGAATTTAGCCGTGGAAACAAAATGCGGCCCACACCATAACTGTCCCTTTTTTTTTAAATCATGCTAATAAAACTTAAAACCATCAGGCCCATCTAAATTAAACTTTTTTGTTGGAAAAAATAACATTTTTCCATTTTGTATCCCATGTCATGTGGTCCTTTGCAAACTTAAATCTTGCACTTTTTTGTTTTTTTGTCAATGGTGGTTTTGTGATCATTCTTTTCCATTGGAATCGTCCTGATTTTGACAAAATTTGTTGGACACATCTTGTAGTCACAGGTAATTTAAGTTCAGTCCTTATTTGTCTTGCTGTTCGTATTCCGGATAACACCAAATGCCAAATGGAAGAATGTTGCCTTTTGGTTGTTTTTTTATTTCCGCCCTTAAAGTAATTTTTGTTGTAGTTTTTACCTAAATTTATAAAACTGTTTACTGCATGAGACCTTTTGATTTTCTTTGCAATTTGATAATTGGACAAATCCATATCTTTTTAAGCAACAATTTTTGTTTTTTCTTCCTCATTTAACACCTTTCCGCGTGGCATTGTAATAATTAAATAACAAATCTTAATTAAAAATACACAAAACTTCCATATAAAACAAAAAAATCTTACTCAAACTTCATTTAACTCTTATTAAATGTTTAAAACAAACTAATAGAACTATGGTAACTAATGGAACTATGGTAACTAATGGAACTATGGTAACTAATGGAGCTATGGTAACTAATGGAACTATGGTAACTAATGGAACTATGGTAACTAATGGAACTATGGTAACTAATGGAACTATGGAAACTAATGGAACTATGGAAACTAATGGAACTATGGAAACTAATGGAACTATGGAAATTTCGCCAGTATAAGTACCAATTTCAAAAACATTCTTGAAAATTTAATTTCAATTGTTTTAGAAACACATAAAATTGTCATATATGCATTTGTCTGCAATAGATCTAATTAAGAAAATTTTTATGGTTAATTTTATAAATGCGTTCAGAATAAAATCTGCAATAACTACATGGAACTATAGAAATTTCGCTGAGTGTATTGTAGAATCACACCTCAGATTATTTGTTTAAACTTAAGAATAGGGTATAACTCTTTTTTAACTGCTGACACCGTTTCAGCTAATAATAAGGCTATTTTTAATTCTACTCGGGGAACGGAGGTGTTTTTAATCTAGATTAGCAGTTATAAGCAAACAGTTTATGTGCTTATCACTAAATGAACATAATAAGTGTATACAACAACCATAAGCACTGTTACTAGTATCACTGAATCCATGTAAGATAAGTCAACAATATGATTTCGATAATGATTATGGTACCACCTGGGAATGACAATGGGTTTAGATGTTTTAATGTCATTGATAATAGCTTGCCATACCAATAACGTATTACCCTCAAGTGGCTTGTCCCAGTTAAGTTTATTGATACATAGTTTTTGAAAAAATACTTTACACTTCATTATAAATGGATTAATAATTCCGAGCGGGTCAAAAATGCTTGCTATAAACTGAAGAACTCAAAGATTAAGTTGTATTCTTTTTTATTCTATGATAATCTTAACACTTTAGTTAGATTAAATAAGGTAAAGTTTTGTTCATTAACAATTCGAATTTTCTAAGAATTTTCTGATTTTCTAAAAAGCCGGCTTCTTTTATACGAACTTGAAATTTTTTATAAAAGTCGATAGCTGAGTCAACAGAGTCTGCCCCTGAGTTAAGATCATCGACATGTAAGGAATTCATTAATTTATGAACAAATACAGGGTCATCCGAAAGGTATTTTTCAGTATGTGTAATGAGAGTGGCAGAAAAAAGAAAGGAAGATGAGGTAACACCAAATAGGACTCTGCATAACATATAATGAATAATTTCTTCAGTAAATATATTGAATTTATTGAGCATGTTAATGTTCTTGAACCATAAAAATCTTACATAAATACGATCCTCAGGAGATAAAACGATTTGTAAAAAGGCTTTTCTAATGTCTGCCACAAAGGCTATTTTTTTGCCACGAAAGCGTAGGAAAATTCCATATAAAGAAGTAGTCAATGGTGGTCCTGGGTATAGGAAATCATTTAATGAAGAACCATCAACGAAACTGCTTGCATCAAAAACAATCATGACTTTAGTGGTAATTTTATCATTCCTTAATACTGGCTGGTGTGGTAGATAGTATGCAGTTTCAATTTTGTTTTCTTCAATAATTGGTTCTATATTGCTTTGCTGTAATTATTTTTCGCAAAAATTGTTGCATGATTTGAGTAGTGATTCATCTTTACTCAATTTCTTCTGAAGGCTTTTAAAACGTTTGATGCACAAAATGTAACTATCACTAAGTGCTGGGTGGTTTTCTTTAAAGGGAAAGTTAATATTATATCGTTTAAGAGTATTGTCGTATTTAATGGTGTGACGAAACCTATCAACAACCTCAAAGTTACACTTGCTCATTTCATTAACACCCCAAATTGATGTCATGGATTCTTTCAACAATGATTCAAAAGATAAATGTGATCCTACTAACATGACACGAGCTGTATTCAAATAACAATCATAATTTTTTATTTTAAACATATTATTAACATTTATAGGACCACTTGATAAATAACCTAGCTTAGATCTAATGGCAATGGGATCAAAATAATTTCCTTTAATAATAGAATTTTCAATAAATAACCAATAATAATCTGTCCTAATCAAGATATCAATTTTCAAGTCACCGTTTTGCAAAATACTTGCAACATCTTCTCCTTACGCCAAAAAAATATCATCAATGTTTAAATGAGACAATAACTCACAAGGCTCTGCGTGTCGACCTTGAGTATCTAGCAAACCTTTTGACTCTACTACCCAATTAAATCTCTTTATTAAGATAATAAACCCATCATTTGATAATACAACTGATCCAACACCAATAGCATTTCCAAAGCATGCATATTTATCTTCAGTTACATTAATTTACAAGACAGTGCAATAATGCTTCATTACAGGAAAACGTGCTCGCCAATTACAATGTTATCAAGAAGAGAATAAAGCGTATCAACAATCAAACATATCAGCAGGTTGCATATAAACTTTATTCTTTTTTTTTTTATAGATTTATATTTACGAACTAATTACAAATATTATTGGAGAAAAAAAAGTTTGTAAAATTTGAGTTTTGCATGCTTTTTTTATGTATTTTTTAAATGACCGAAGTTGTATGGTGACCGATTTTACGGTATAGTTAGGGATCATCCATAAAGAATGTCACTTTAAGTTTAACTAATGACAAAAAGTAGGAGAATGTTGGCTCTTGTGCGCAGAGATTTTAAGAGTAATATAGCGCCTTATGTTCAATGAAAATCTCCGCGGAAGAGAACCAATAAACTTCTACTTCTGGTTAGTAATTAAGTTCTGAATGACGTCCTTTATGGACGACCCCTTATGTCAAATATGTGGGTAATTCCACAAAAGTGATGGTAGTAACATTTGACACTATTTAAGAATCAAAAATAGAAATGACTTGAAACTTTCCAGAAATGTGAAATAATATTATATAACGCACTAAATGCATCTAAGGCATAGAGCAAATAAACTCGTAAAAAAACCCGATAATTTAAAACAAATCCGAATGGTTGTTAGTGGGAAACCGAAAAACTTTTTATTTATTGGTATTTAATTTATATTTTATTTTTAAAAGGGGCTAAAAGTTATGATTATTTATGCAAAAACGACTTTGGTAGAAAAATTAACACTACGATAGGTTATATAAATCTAACGTGACATTATTGTTAAAATACTCATTTAGGTGTGGTATTGAAAATAGTAACTTCAATTTTCATAAAAAAATGGTTTTTCATGGATAATGTTTCAAAATAATTTCTGATTAAAAATGTTAAGTTACATTCATTGAAAACAAACACCAATACGCGCTTTTATGAAAAAAATCAAATTCATAGGTTTATCTATAGCCAAGCCCCAAGGTACTTTATGTTAAAAATTGCATCTTTTCTAAATAAAACTACGCTTGACGATTTGTTATAGTCGCATTATTTTTACCAGATTATAATAGTGGATAAAATAAACTTTCCATACATACCAAATATGTCATACTTTTTGATGAAAAAACTTACATAGGGGAAAGGCGCTTATGTAGTATATCGCCTATGATGGCATACCGGTCATATTTTCATAAAAATTGGTTATGATGAAAAAGTGATTAGACCAACTTGCCTATACTGACTTTATATTAGTTTTATTAAAAATACGTCTCTGTGCACAAATATTGCTTTTATAAACAACAAAAATTGATTTTAGGATGTGCTGTTGTAATTTTAATCCCATTAAGTATTTAATTTTGTGATTTTATTATTAACTGTGAAGTAATAAAATTTTAATGCATTTTTTTCCAAGTTTTATACATTTAGTGGAATACTTATTTTAATTTTATTTTTTGAACAAGACAGACATAGCTTGTTTAAATGAAAATGATGACTTTATTCAATGATGGCATACTGACGAGCTAGGTGTGTTGCAATATTGACAAGTTGAGAAAACTTTTTTTTTTTCAAAAAACGATATATTTTTTAGTCAAGTAAAAAGGAATTTATACTTCACATAAAATTTTTGGTTCAAAAAACAAATAAAACGCAGTATCATTTATGCCCATGCGCAAAAAAGAGTTAATTAGGATGATTGCGTGTAATTCCTGGCATTTCTAAGAGAAGACTCTAGGGTCAAATCAAATCCTCAAGTTACTCTTCATGCTAACCAGCCCCATTCTCCCCTATGCCATCATAGGAGCAGTAGGTTGCCTCTGATGGCATACTTGTGCTTTTTTTTTAAAATAAAAATAACTAATTAAAAAATAAAACTAATAAAAACTCCTAAGGTTATTATTGTTGTACATGTAACAAAGTTTTAATATGCATCCATATTAAAACTTTTGTCCTTGGTCTTTAGAATGCTGAATAATAGGGTGGAGCAGTTTTCATAGCAAAAAAAAAAAAAGTTGAAAAGTCAATATTTCTGAGACATGAATCGATGTCTATTAATTATAAGATGAAAGTAAAAAAATATTTTTTGGTTTTGATAAGATCTTGAGGTTCCTCTTTGGATTCTAAATCCTTGACTGATCCTAATATTTTTGAATTTTTTTTTTCTAAACTATATCAACTTGGACTCAAAAAAAGCAGAATAAAATGCTTGATTTTTAAAAATATTTGCAAAAATATACCTTAAAACCCCCGTTTTGATGAAGACGGGGGTTTTTAATAAAAAAAACGCTGCTTCTTTTGAGTACCAGGTTAATATAGTTTAAAAGAAAAAAAATTTCAACAATATTAGGATCCGTCATAAATTTAGAATCCAAAGAGGAACCTCTAAAACTCATTTATATTAAAAAAAAAACAAAAAAAAAAGTAAGGCTCTTTTTTCACCAAAAGACATCGATTCGCAGCTCAGGCTAATCAAATTTCGAAAATTTTTAAAATCACTCCACTCTACTGAATTATAAAGTATGCCACTGAATAGTTAAGTATGCCACCACAGACGCTCTTCCCCTATATTGTAATTGAAAAAACTTATAATTTTGTTCGGAAAAACATGTAACAAGCCTTAGTTGCATTGAGCAGTTAAGCAAAAGTTACGGCATTAAAGCCTTAAATATTTTCCGAAAATTAACTCTACGTAGCGTGATCACGCTACGTGATCAAGCTACGTGATCACGTAACGTTACGACCGTCACGCGACGGTCGTAACGTTACTTTTTACCACTTCTGAACTAAACAGACTAACGAACTTATTCCTGGCCATTACGTTTTACGAAGTAAAAGTAGTGACGATATTTTTAAATTAAAAAAAAAAAAAACAAATTTATTGTCTCGATCTTAAGTAAGTAAGTTCTGCATAAATTTTTACTTTTGCAAGTTCAATTCTTTTTTTAATATTTAAACAAACAATAGGCTTTGAAACGCTTTATAACACTTTTATATTTTCAAATTAGCAGACTTCTTTAAAAAAAAATATTAACTAGCTATATTTATGTGATTACTACTTACGTTTTAGTATGAAAATAATAAAATAGAATAAATAATGTAAATAATAAAAATTAGATTCAACTTTAAAATTAAAACTTAAATTTTTATTCTACCTAAATTTATATTATAACTAGATCTTATTCATGGCGAAGAATAGGTTGACATGTGGCCACGATTAGGTCATTATTTATGGGTACAAAAAACACCAACAATCACAACATAAACACAAACCAAACGAAGTAATAATCATTTCAAATCAAAGTAAAATGTTTTTATTTATAGAATAAAACATTACAGTTGAATTAAATTTTATGATTGTTATTAAACAAGATAAAATAGCGAAACGTTTTTTCGCATTTTTGTTTTCAAGGTCGGAATATTTTCCATAGAATAAACAAAATTAGTATAATTTTCAAACTCAGATAAAATAACGTAGCGATGAACTTATGTAACAAACTGAGGTTTCAAATATAAAAGTTGGATTGTATTTTGATTTAAAAAAATTTGGGAAACCCCTAACTAAATATTTAAGACAATAAACTTCTTTGAAAAGTGGCCAGGAATTGGTGCTGGTCAAGTATAGGTGGTTTTACCCTAAAATTATCAAAGTTATCAATGGTTTTACGATACGATTTTTAACGCTTCACAACAGGACTGTATATAAGCGTCAAAGCACGTTTGTACAACCCTTATAACTTTAAAACCATGCTAATGTACAATAAATTGATTTTTTTAAATTAATTTTTTGCTTAAAAGTATTTTTGAATAGTTAAAAGAAAAAGTTACGAAGTTATGTGTTTGCATATTATATTAGACATATTATAAGATAGTTTTTAGATTCAAGATAGTTGTAAAGTCGGATATGCTGTTGAGTAGTACGCCCAGTTATAAGCTTGTTATCCAATAACCCATTTAATCCAAACTATATAAATTCATTCAATTTTGATTAGCTTTTCGAAAAACCCGTTGATACACAACATACAAGAAAAAATCAGCAGGAATTATAAAATATGATACTTCTAGTTGATTTTTTATCTGCTGATATTGCTAGCTCAAAAAATGAGTAATTTTTAGGTACATAATGGAGTATCTTCTCTTGTAAAAGTTTTAGCATTGTTTTGTAATCAAGTATATACATTCTTTTAAGAAGCTTTGCTTTAATTAAAAGTAGAGTAACTTGCTGTGCAGCGTCTAGTTGCAGAAGCATCTAGACATCGCGGACCTATTAGAACAAAGCAATAATGACAGCAAATATACACAATAGAACGTAATTTAATTAACTTTCATTGCTCAAAAATCAAAAAAAAAAAAAAAAAAAAAAAAAGGAAAGAAATTTGATAATTAAAAAACATTTTTGTTTTCTTGCTAAAGTGAATATTTCTACTTTTTATTATTATTATTATTATTATTATTGCTATTATTATTATTATTATTGCTATTATTATTATTGTTATATTAATGACTTTCATTTTCTGATATCATTATTAGCATTTATTTTCTAAAATTTACGAATCTTTTCTTAAAGCGGTCTTTGTTTTAAGTTGGTTCTATAATATTTGCATTGTACCTTTACAAAAGTTGTGATATAATATTTTACTATTTTGACATTATTAATGTAAGTTTATTATTTACAATATAGTAGTATTTTTCTGTGCTTAGGATAAATTGATTGATAAAGTTTATATTTTTCGAAATGTTATAAATTCAAGTACACCAAATCTTTATTTAAGTTTAATACATTTAAAATCAAACAGCTTAACTGGATAACTTCTGATACCTAAATAGTTATTGAATATAACTTCGAAAAACCGAAATAATAGAAAGCAAAATTTGATAATATTATAAAATATTTAAATTCCAACAGCAGCAATAACAATGACAAAAACAATAACAACAACAACAACTTTATCATTATTAATAACAAAAATAATAATAATAGTAATAATGATAAAAAATAATAATAGTAGTGAATATTACTATTGACATGTTTTAATAGTTTAATATAAAATTTTGATGGTGTACTTACACACATTGTAGTGTAGTAAATTAAATAGTCTATAATTAATTCTAAGCCAACATAAAAGGCTTTTTTCTTCATATAATATTATGTAAACTAAAATGTACAAACAGGTTAGTTTTAGTATACAAATAATTAAACTCAACAAGGATAATAATAGTTATAAGAATCAGCACATTCTACCATACTAAATAAATAAAATAAGTAAATAAGTTCAAATTGTTCAAATATAGTCATTTACATATTTAGGCAGATTCCAGGATTTTTGTGAGAGACTGATTCTTCAAAAGAAATTCCATTAGGATTTGTTGGAGAGAGTAGAAAAGATTTGAGATCTATTCGGATGGAGAGGCTCAAGTGAAGAGATTGTATCAAACTCATTGGAACTATTTTTGAAGTTAATATTTCCATCATTATTACTGATTATATCAGCCGTTGGTGCGAGATATCTTGTAGCAACAGTGGGTGAGACTTCCATCAAGCATTCTTACATGAGAATATTTACTATTAGCCTCTAAAAGCTCAATCTCAATTCTCTAAAAGCTTAATCTCAATCCAGTCTAAAAGCTCAATCTCAATCCAGAGGTTCATATTTGCCCTGTCGAACATGCCTTTTAAGCAATACAGGACCAGAGATAAAACTATATCATAACTGTGCAAAGAAAGTTCTATCCTCCATCTCAGAATCTTGTCATTCTTAATTTTTCCTCTCTTGTTATTGTCAAACATGAAAGAGACAGAGCGCTGGTTGGTGACTAGAGTAAAATGCCGACCATCAAGGTAGTGTTTCCATTTTTGAAGTGATTCGACAATAGCATAAGCTTCCTTCTCAACAAAAGAATGTTTTTTTTCAGTAGGTGAAAGTTTGCGAGAAAAGAATGCAACTGGTCTTCCAGCCTGATTAAGGGAAGCAGCTATGGCAAAATCGGAGGCATCTGTTTCCACCTCAAATAGTATACTTTCATCAATAGCTTGTAGAGCTGATTGAGAGATTAATTCTTTCATTTCATTGAAACATTTAACAGCTTCAGTTGATAGTGGAAATAGTAGAAGTTAGAGATAAAGGATGAATTTTGTCAGACAAATGTTTGATATATTGGGAGTAGTATGAGAACATACTGAAAGCTCTACGGAGAGAAGCACTATCTGTGGTATTTCAATTAATGGCTTTAAGCGATCTGGATCAGGGGAAAAAGAGCCACTTTTTATAATAAAACCTAGGAAGGTTATACACGAAGTAGACAATATAGACTTTTCTTCATTGAACATAAGTATTGCTTTCTTAAAAGCTTCAAGAAATTTTTCTAAATTGAAATCATGTTTATTTTTAGATAACATGCTTGTAGTACCATTTTTAGATAACATGCTTGTAGTACCATTTTTATGATAACATGCTTGTAGTACCACATACAAGCATGTTATCTAGATTTACGAAGGTATCTTCTAATTTGTTTTCTTTAATAAACTTATCCATAATTCTTTGAAATTGTGCAACAGCATTAGTGAGGCCAAAAGAAATTCTTTTAAATTGGAAAAGATGTCCATTGGACTCAAAGGCTGTGTAATACTTGACACTTTCTAGAAGAGGTATTTGATGATAGGCACTTTTTAAATCAAATGTGCTAAATAATGAATATTTTGCAACAGAGTTAACTAATTCATTGATGTTAGGTAAAGGATAAGATAAAGAATATAAGATAAAGGGAACACGTTGTACCCAATGTCCTTCATTTGATGATTTCCTTAATTTGCACTTCTACTAATGTTACACCTCCTTTAACGATTATTTAGATTCAGTTGTTGTTCTTTTAATGGACACTCTGTTTCTACATGATTAACTAATTCTGGTCCTGTATTGCTTAAAAGGCATGTTCGACGCAGCAAATATGAACCTCTGGTAGAAGAGATAGAGCTTTTAGAGGCTAATAATAAATATTCTCATGTAAAAAATGTCTGATGGACGTGAGACCACTGTTGCTACAAGATATCTCGCACCAACGGCTGATATAATCAATGTTAATGGCGTAAAAAAACTAACAGTTCTATTTGTGTTAATAAGTGAAGAATAAATTGTAGTGTAGTAAATTAAATAATCTATAATTAGTTCTAAGCCAATATAAAAGGCTTTATTCTTCATATAATAATATGTTAACTAAAATATACAAGCAGGTTAGTTTTAGTATACATACAATTAAACTTAACAAGGATAATAATAATTATAAGAATCAGCCCACACATTAAGTATAAAATAGATAAATTTCAATTTAAAATCAATTTTTTTTAAACATTTTCACAATTACTACAAGAATATTTTCTACAATTTTTTAAAATTGTTTTTCATGAAAGTCAATACATTTATACTCATTTACTATTACTACTTATACTCATTTACCTCATTTTAATTTTATTTGTTATATGTTGTTACAACTCTCTCTTAACTCAGAAACACAAGCCTTGATGAACAAGAATGCTGAACAGAGAAATAATTTAAACATGATACTATCATGAATATAATGATTATTGAACTTGATACATTTTGTTTAGGAAGCAAGTGTTTTATACTACTACAGCTTTTAGCACCACTACTATTAACTTTCACATAATACTTTTTTAACAAGAATACCCCTCTAATTTTATTTATAACAATGCCCCTCTATTACTACACCAATAATCTAAATTTTGACTGAATTTTTTTGTTACTTTTTATAGTAAAATGAACAAAGATGACATTTGGGATGTTTCTGATTTTCTAAGTCGATACACAACAAAGTCAGCAGTCTCTGAAAGTCCTGTAGTTAAATTTAATGAATATTCTAATAATGATTCTCTTGGTTTTTTGAATGATGAAGATACTTTTTGTACATCACATAATTTTGATGAACGTCTTCTATATTTAAATCAAGTTAGTTCTATTTTCAATATTTTATAATAGTTTAAATTTAAAAAAAGTTTTTTAATAATAGAAATACATAAGTATAGTACAATGTTTTGTTTAAAGAGGTAATAGTCAAACCTTAAAATAAAAGTTTGTTTGAAATTTAATTCATCTTTAAGTTCAAGTTTTAGGTATCTGTATTTGCAGTATTTTATATCTTTAAAAAGAAATATTCTTTTGGTTTTAAGCTACAGCCAAGTTAAAAAGATATCTAAATAATAATATACTGTGTTCAAAAAGGATTAAAAAATAAGTTGTTTTTATTAAATATTAAATGTATACAAAAAAACCCTAATGTTTTTGTTGAAATTTGCCTATTTTTAGATTCTGCAATAGAGTCTACAATAACAAACATATTTTGCAGTCTTGATTACTCCTTTTTCAAAATCCCTTTTCAAAACTAATTGTATGGGTTCATCGACAAATACAAATAAAATAGCAGAACTTAACTTGATATAATTATATATACAACCCTCGGAATTAGGTCGGCATTGCCGAATGGCAATGCCGACCTAATTCCGATGGTTGTATATATAAAAATGTATACATATATACATTTTTTCAGGTAGTACAGACCTACAAAGCCTAAAGTTTGATCTAAAGTAAAACTTGTATAATCTAGTATAGTCCAGTCTTTAGTACAGTCCAGTAGTATATCAAATATATAAAATATCAAAATGTCAAAAAGTATTAAATATTTTATAGTTTATTGTAGAATGAAAAATTATTTGAACAGCTATTTTTTAAATGACTGCTTTAACTGTTTAATTTTTTTAAATTAAAATTTACAAATAAAGAAAAATAAGAACTTTTTTCATACGTCGTAATGATTAAATTCTATTTCAGTATATATATATTATTATTTCAGTATATTTATATCTCTATTTTTTCTAGGTCTGTAGTGTCCAAAAGCTCTAAATATGTTTGTTGACTTATGATCTGCTATAAGAAAAAAATTCATGTGATTTAATGACTTGGATCTTATTGTTTTTAAGCCTGGAGTCCTGGAATTCCGGAGTCCTTGCCGCCATTATACCTAAAGACTCCAGGTTCAAAAAGTGATTGTTCCTCTTACCTAAAAGTCTTAATTTTTTTTCTATAAGTAGTCCCATAAACTTTTTTATATTTTTAGATCTCCTGGATACCAAAAACTATAAAGAAGTAACTTTTTTGTGACTTTCAATATTTTATATATATATATATATATATATATATATATATATATATATATATATATATATATATATATATATATATATATATATATATATATATATATATATATATATATATATAATTAAATGATAACAATAATAAATAATAATAAATAGTTTTAAAATAATAATTTCAATAAACAACTTTAGTTTATTAGTTAATAATTTTTGGATAAAAAAACACTAGTTAGCACTAAGGAGTTTTTTTATTTTAATAGTTTTATTTTACTATTCTAGTACTAAAAGTTTCTTAAGAGTTTCTTAAATATAAATAGGCTTCTAGCACCAGTTTCTTATTTACATTAACTTAAAAACAATAGCATAGTTACTAGTTATGAACTTTTTTTTAATGGTGGGTAAAATGGCTACTTATTATCCTTTTTTTCCATTCAAATTCTTATCAATGTCCCAGATACACCTTATGAAGTTTAAGGAAAAGATCAGCATGCCAAAATTTATCAAAAGCTTTAGATACGTCAAGAGCAATAGCCCTAGCCTTTCTGCCTCCATCTAATACAAAATAAAATCTTTCAGTCACAACAATTAACAAGTCAGCCATAGAGGGGGAAGATTAAAAACAGTATTGATTGTGTGACAGAAAGTTATTTAACTTAAAATAGGATATTAAAAATTTGTTGATCAAAGACCTTGCTAATAACAGATAGAAGACTGATTGGACGATAGTTGGAAAGGTCATGTTCTCCAGAGTTTTTAAAAATTGGCATCACAGGTGCCATTTTTCAACAGGCAGGAAAATAAAATTCAATCAAGCACTTATTAAATAGTTTAAAGAGAATTAAAGAGAGTTTTGGAGAGCAATTTTGTAAGACTATAACAAGAATGTTTTCTGGACCACAAGCAATTGAAGAGTTAATTGAGATATAACTTTAGCAACAGGCAGCCCTTCTTAAATTATTAGGCTAGTGGTTGATGTATTTAAAATACATTGTTTCCAGTTTAGGATGTTAAAATGCTGGGTCTTCTTGGCTTAATGCATGGGTTTTTCTTGTGTCTCTGCCTCACTAGGCAACTCATTCTATTATCTCTTAATGAAGGTGCAGCTCTAAAAAACAGTTTTATGTTTCTGAGTTCAGTAACATAATTTTGAACATAAGAATAGTATAATAACTAAAAATCAATTTTTTTTACCACGAAAATTATGAACCTTACAATTCTCATGTACCAATATTTATGTAAGTAATCTAGATTGGTTCTGATCAAATTGACCAAGCTGATTCCCTTTATCCTTCAGTCAATATCGATGTTAGTAACTTTAATGCTCATTACACTTCTAATGAGTGTAATGAGCATTAAAGTTACTAACATTGATATTGACTGAAGGATAAAGGGAATCAGCTTGGTCAATTTGATCAGAATTAACATCAAAAAGAGTGCAGCCTTGAGATGAAGGAGAACAATATAGAACAAAGAGAAAAGCGATAGAATGAAGTGGTGTTAAACGAAAGCACATAAAAGAATAGTCTGTAGATGCAAACCTAGTTTCCCTTAGGAATAGGTGATATCTTACAAATGTAAATGGCCAAGCCAAGCATGTGACTATCAGAATTTTTAATGAGCATTAAAGTTACTAACATGACTTGTTTCTAGTGTAAATGACTCTCCAGGCATTAAGGCCCACAACTTTAGCCTTTCTCAATCTCTAACACAGATGGTTAACTTTCCAACTCGCTTTCTAGACAATCCGAATCATTTACCTTCTTTACTCGACTTATGTCTTATTTCTAATCCTACTCAGTGTTCAGTTTCTCCACATTTACCCTTAGATGCTTCTGATCACAGCTTGATCTCTCTAAAACTATTATCTCATTCTTCTTTGTCATGAGAATCCCCCAATCATCATACCTCTTACAACTATCTTAAAGCTGACTGGGTGATTTTCTTTGTGATGGCTCTTGATGACTCATGATAATAGAAATCTTTCATCTTCATACTGACAAATGCGCTTCTTATGTAACTTCTTGGATTCAGGCTGGCATGGTAGGCTTCGTCATCTGCGATTGCTCTCAAATACTGACCAGGAAATTATATTTATTTTGAAAAACTGGCCAGGCTTTTTAGTCGTTTTGAGAACATTTAAGTTTATTGACGAAACAAAAAATTTTTGTTTTACAGACATACATGGAAACATAAAAAACTTGAATGTTCTCAAAACATCTTGGTGTGGAAGAATAAAAAGAATATTTGCGAACTCTAAAAACCCGCCTAATTAATGAACAAACTAATTCTCTTAGTTCAAAAAATACGCTGACTAAGCGAAATAAAATTCTAGAGTATTCTATTGAATTGATTTAAAAATTGTATTATTTACAATTAGTTACGTATTAGTTACGTTTTGAGATTTCTAGCATAAATTGTTTTAAGAATATATTATCAATTCTATGGCTCATTCTCGGATCCACATCTGCAAAGCCAAAAATCTTACAAAAAATACAAAATACAAAAATAAATGTTTTAAACATATTATTATTTACAAAAATAAATGTTTTAAATATATATTATTTAAATTGTCAAAATTTTGAAAGTTTATTATAAATTATAAATTTTATTAGTATATACTTATTATTTATTTAAAAAGTATGTATTTTTTATGTAAATATAATTTTTTATATCTGTTTTTTATCGATTTAATTTGTAAACAAAGACCTACAAAAAATTTTTTGTAGGTCTTTGTTTACAAATTAAATTGATAAAACAAATTAAATCGATACAAATTAAATCAATAAAACCTACAGAAAATATTTGTAAATAAAGTATAAATAAAGTATAATAAAGTAAACAAAATAAAGTAATTTATTTGGCTTTAAGTTTTTTTCGCGTTAAAAGATATTTTATTTTCCTAATTTTTTTTTTTTTATATCGGTCCAATTAATCTCTTTCCAATTAATCTTTTTTTTTTTGCTTTTTGAAATGTTCTCAAAACAACTAAAAATCTGGCCAGCTTTTTGCAACTAAATATTATTTCCGTGGTCAGCAATCAAGAGCGATCGCTCCCGCTTCCCGACCAAGCCTGGCATGGAATCTTTTATTCCCTCTCCCCAATTCCAAATCAATCTTTAATCTTCTCCATAGTTGTCATCTTATTGTGCTGCTGCAATTTCCAATTGTAAACATTTTCATATCTACCAGCAAAACAAGAAACTAAAAACCATTGTAAAAAGGCTTTTTCTAATGCCAAAGCTCGCTATTCTCAGGTCACAAAATTTCATGTTTTATCTCAAAAATTAGGCTCTCCTGACTTATTATAGATACTGCTAAAGATTCTTCTGGAGAATCTTTAACAGTATCTATAGTAAGGACAAATCTGTTGTTTTACCTCTCATGCATGGTTCAGATTTTGTCATCTCACCTAAAGACAAAGCTCTATTGTTTGCTAAAAACTTCTCATCAATATTATCTTTTGATTCCACTAGTCGTGTTCTACCTGATACAGCTGACAAATAGGTTAATTCATTGCCTGACGTTTGTATCCCTCCAGCTTCTATATCTAAAGTGATCTCCTGCTTAGACTCTTTTACTGTTTGTGGTCCGGACAACATACCTACTATTTTCTTGCAGAAGTGTTCTTCGGAGCTGTCAGCTATACTTTCAAAACTATTTAAAAAATGCTTATCAGAGTCTTATTTTCCAGTCTGTTGGAAAAAGTGTCTTATCTCTTTTTTTAAAAAATCTGGAGAGGGATTTTACTAGTCTAACTACCGTCCCATTAGTTTTATTCCTATCATAAACAAGGCT